TCCGGCTTCGTTCAAGCAATTCCGTCGATTTTGTTGTTTGATCAACTACTATCGACGTTTCATTCCGCGCTGTGCTAAGCTCATACATCCTCTGACTGACCTACTCACACGGACACAACACAGACAGCCTTCACCGAGCTCAAGGTGCTCTCTCCAACATAGCTCTCCTCGGTCATTCCGATTTGAGTGCACCCCTTTCTGTTTTTACTGACGCGTCAGAGGTCGCGGTGGGAGCCGTCCTCCAACAACACGTTTGTGGGCAATGGCAACCCCTTCGATTGTTCTCCAGGTGCCTGCAGCCAGCGGAATCCCGCTACAGCACGTTTGGCAGAGAATTGCTCGCCATTTACCTGGCGATTCGTCACTTCCGGCACACACTCGAAGGTCGCGCTTTCACGATCTACACTGACCAAAAGCCCCTCATCTTCGTTTTCAACTCTGCTTGCGACAAATATTCACCACGCGAAACAAGACACCTAGACTTTGTCACGCAGTTCACTGCTGACATACGTCATGTATCAGGTGTCGATAACCCCATCGCCGACACTCTCACGCGTCAACCTCACTCTGCAGTCTTTGCCTACCGTCGATCTTGCCGCAATGGCATCGGTTCAGGCTCAAAATGAAGACACAAAGCGCACTCTGTAGTCCACTACGCTGCATGTCCAACCTGTTTTTCTCCAAACCACCGAAGGAACCATCCTTTATGATACTTCCACAGGTTGTCATAGGTCCCTCGTGCTCGTCACCTTCAGACGCACTGCACTCACTATCACATCGCGATATCCGTGCATCTTTGAAACTGGTCACCAGAGGTTTCGTTTGGCCGCGCGTAAACATAGATGTTCGTACCTGCTCTCGCCTGCCTTCAATGCCAGCGCTCCAAAATGCAGCGTCACACCCGCAGTCCTCTTGGTTCATTTCCTTCCCCAGACTTTCAGTGCTCGTATGTATACTTAGACCTGGTAGGTGTCTTGCCTCCTTCACACGGATTTGTATATATTTTACACATGTGTCGACCGCTTCACTAGACGGCCAGAATCCATTTCCGTAACAGACTGCACAGCTGAGACTATTATCCAGGCCTGCTTAGATCGGCGGGTCTCGCACTACGGACGTCCTTCCACAATTACAATTGACCGAGGAACGTCTTTCGAATCTTCACAATTCGGTACGTTCTGCAACTTTCTAGGCTGCCGCCGCATTCATACCACAGCGTATCACCCAGCAGCCATCAGTTTAGTTGAACGCTTCCATAGACAGTTAAAAGCCTCGCTCTGCGCCTCCTCCGACCCTAAATGGAGCGAAAACGTTTCGCTCATACTCTTAGACATTCGTAGCAGCATCAAAGCTGACTTGCAATGTGCACCAGCAGAGCTGATTTACGGCACAACGCTAAAATTATCAGGAGAATTCGTTTCGCCTCCCGCATCGTCGGTTATGCCTCCGCCTAACTTTGCCTCCTCCCTAGCTCAACGTGTGTGTTCACTAAGCATGACTCCACTCCGTGAGTAGACTAGAGATGTGGAAATGCACAGCGGACTCTTTGCCTGCACTCACGTCTTCCGACGCAGTGCGGCGCCGTCTCCAGCTTCCCTACACTGGTCCTTTCAGAGTCCTGCAACGGACTCCGAAACATTTCACTTTAGACCAGAATTGTCACGGAACAACGGTGTCCATCGACCATCTAAAAGTCGCGTACTTTGACGAACCACTTGCAATCCATCCTGATGCAATCGCACAAACACCCGCACCTGCGATGACTTCACAAGTACTGGATATCCCGAAACCCTCCGTTCCCCTTGACTCTCAACCCCAGGTAACCGACCGACGCGGTAGACAGGTCAAATGTCCGGTCCGTTTTTCAGATTTTGTAAACGTTTGCTATTTCCATTAACACGCCTTTTTCGTCTTTAGTGGTAATCTTGCGTCTCGTCCACAGACGTTTTGTAAAATCGACAAAAGAGACAAAACATCTTGAAAACTTAAAAAGCATATTTGCTTTTATCAGGCATGCCATGTTTTTTTTCCGGCGTCAAGCCACTTCCCCCGACCCTTGCCCATCCCCTCTGAGTTCTAACTTCCAGAAACTCAACCACCGGAACTGCCAAGGCAATCCTCGAGTGACTCGCCAACCGGTCCAACGCAACCGTCGAGTGACTTGCCAGCGGGCTCAAGGCCCCTTCGTCACCCAAGGAACAGTCAGTCGCCCTAGACCGCGGACGGCCATGACCGGAGTGGTCCCCAAACGCCTGGCTACGCGTTGCCGACGTGGACGCCCGGATTTCTTCGCGGGACGAGGACCGTGGACTGGAGTTCGGTGGGGGGAGTGACACCTACCAAGCACACCGTCCGGTCTGCAGCGGAGGGAATGTCCTGTCGGCTTTTTTTCTGGACTAGCCAGTTTTTTTTGCAGTCCACCAGCCCGCCTCGGTGGCTCACCGATGATGCACTCTGGTCCACACAATCATCATAAATAATTAATAGAAAAAGCCTGGACCTAGCGAACTCTGCTACACACCCCATGTTGGAAGCCCGTGTTCAAGCCCATGCAACTATTCGCACCCATCCTCACCTTCCGTTTTCCCCCATCAACAGCTCCACCAAATGCTTCCATCCTTCAGCCTTCTAGGGGGAGGCCCTTGTAGTGTACCGGAAAACACGCTCTTTCCGTATTTTGCAACACTGGATTTTACTGTTGTTTTAACCTTCAAAACGTCCACTTGTTTTACTGACGGCACTTCCGTTGACACAAATTGTTTTAGTGTGTATGTTGCTGCATCGTTTTTCGCTCCGGTTGATACACTTTCTATTTTTGTAGCCTTCACAATACACCTTATGTTCAGTCGCCTCTAACTTCTATACTGTCCCATATTTGAGACGTCTCTTACGTGTCATTGATTAACGACTAGTATCCCAGGCGCCACCCAAGAAGATTCACTTCAAAGCCAACCGATGCCCCAATTGTGATTGCATGTCGCAATCCATGACACGGCAGATGCTCCAAAACCCGAAAATCAACATAACCTGTTTTATGCGACCTCATACAAATTGATCAGTCCACTCGGTTGGGCTGCGCCTCGCAGTGCCAAGGAATAGAGCGTTTTCATTCCTTTGTTTACTACTCGGAGCAGAAACGCTACTTCCGTGTATCGCTGGTTGATACCGTGTGATTCTAGCGGTACTCTCGCATAGCGTGAAGCTGGCGTGTATGCGTCTGCAAGTTACGCTGTACCACTGTTTAACTAAATGTGTTGCACGTCATTAGCGACCCGATACTGATCGATGCTCTTAATGATGCGCATATTGTTGGGGCCCCATGCTGAGGCTGATGTTGCATTCTTGGTGCTTCTTCACCGCAGTTGGGCTAAACCAACTTAGATTTAAGCTAGATCTTTTTAAGCTGGATAAATTTCATTCCACTTTCTTTGGTTTGTTCTGCCTACCTGAATAATCTTCTATTCACTGGCCACGTTGCTTACGCCATTTGCGGTTATCTTCGATAACTTTGTTGCATTTGTAGCATATTTAAGTAACTTGTGGACATTTTTTCCTTATCGCGGATTCGTTGCTGACCAACTTACTTCATATGGTAATTTAGCGAAGAGTTATGTCACCGTGCCTGTATGCATTATTCGATTTATTTTATTTCATCTTGTCGTTTCAAGTGATTGGCTGTTGCTTGATATCCCCGGTGTGGCTGCGCTTGATGTGCACGTTGACAAGGTGCCTACGTGTCTATTACTCACCACCTCGTTCATACTGGCTCCAGGAGACAGTTGGTCGTTGCTGGAGGGGACGGAGTGCACGGTCCTTGTGGCCGTGTTAGGATCAAAGAGTGGTTCCATGCACTCAGTGTGGAGCGGACTACGGTCCAGCCACCGCCTTGTGTGTGCTTGATTCCCCAAATACAGCGTGCTTGTGTTTGCCTGTGAAAGAGTGTGGGTCGGCTCCGTTGATGAAACGTGGTTCCCATCCACATGCCTCCCGGTGTTATTCCTCCGGGTTTACACTGGATATGGGGTGTGTGGATGGAGCTGTGGGTGGTGCAGCTCAAGCCATCCATGGTCCCTCTGTAGGCGCAGGCGTCCTGTGGCTGGCCACAGTGACAGGCAAATCCGAAACCGGATGCCGCTTACGATTGGTGGGGCGAATCCATCGGCGTTATCCTGGGTTTAAGGCACTATTAAAACCTGGAATGTAGAGGCTTGCGTTCGGGTGTATATTGCTTTGTATTCTCGTCTCGTCGATAAAATAAATATGACATTTTCACTTTAAACTACACCTTTTACAAACCAAATTGGACACTGCTTATTTGAAGCAGATCAGCGCTTTGTTAGCAAGACATAAAAGTAAGGCAACTAGACGATGTTTCAGCCACAATGCGGTCTGGCTTATGCAACCCGATGTGGCTTTTGCACTGCTGTCCGGGCTGTATGATTATTCTGCAGACGTTTTACTGCTAGACTAGGCAACATCCTCAGTCATTGATCGATCAATGAGCACTTAATTGTCGATGTCGCTTACGAGACTGTGCGATGCAGGACCTTAAAGCCGCACTGACGATGTTGCCTGGTCTAGATATTCTCAGACATTTCTAATGCAACCCGAACTGTACGGGCGGCGGACTCCAGTTGAAGCCCTTCTCTTGATCATATGAGTCGCTCCCCTTGATTAAAGGCAGTAATCCAGTGTTCCCTTGTCTTCTTATCGGCCTTCGCGTACTATGTGCGCATGCGCAGCTGTGAGAACAGTGCTCGATGAAGAACAACTGCCCATGCACCGAGAATAACGAAACTTGGAGTAAGTACCACCCATATTTGCACATTTCTCCCATCGTTTCATGCAGTTGAACAGACCACGTCTGATTGGGTCTGATAAATGAAATTCGATGTTCGACGACGGTGAACATCACCTTACATCATGCTATTCTCGTGAAACCCCCGCACCGAGCCTGTTAGGGTTTTTAAAATATTAGTTAGTGCACAGTACGCGTGAATACATGAGAAATCTATGTTTGGAATATCACTTAACGATGAATAACGTGGGAATTAATAACCCGGTGATTGATATATGTACAGTATGAAAAGCTCGTGCAGTTTGCGGAGTCTCAATCTTACGCTGTAGTCCGACCAAGATCTTGAGCACTTGATTGTGTGCATACTTGTGACGTGCTCTCATTTGAACTGCTCTCATCCGTCTTCTCATCGTTTTCGTTGTGGTTACCGGAAGCCGCAGCTGTCGCAGCCTCTTCTGTGATAGGTGCACGGGATTTGAATACGTTTTTGAATATTTTTCTTGGCTCACATACTTTCCGTTTACGCTCCACTTCTGAATGTGGTAGAAACAGACTCACAACAAACCCAATAGCTGCCAGGAACGAGAAGATCAATATCGCCCCCAGAACTGAGGAACGCTGCAGAAATATCTGTCCCAGGAAAGGTGAAGTCAGCACACCGATGCGGTAAGAGGTTGACATTACGCCATACGCGAGGCTTCGAATACGAGAGGAGTATAGTCCGGTTAGATAAATGGTTGTTGCATTGTTTCCGGCGGAGGCCACTGCTCGGGTTATAAACAGCATCACGTGGATCACGTTGGTTTGCATACAAAATGTCTGAAGCATAAATTGAAAAGGAACGTAGTGTATGCACCTCCGAAAATTTTTATTCTCCTTATAGATTCGTTAAGAATATACTTGATTGCTATTGGTTTAAACATCTACTGTGTTCAGAAAAAGCCTGCTTCTAGCTGCTGTCAGAGTAATGCATTTATTTGACCTTTTGCTTATCAGCTTGACCGAACGTGTACAACAGTGCATATTAGGTTAAGCATTTCCGTTTTACCTGACTCACCGCGGAGGTTACCCCACCAAGTATCTCTTGGGGGGAACGTAGATGCTCTAGGATAAAGGCGCAATGTTTTCTAGGCATTAAGTTCAACACACCGTGCTCCGTAGTCAACGCTGCGGTAGGCTCATCTAAACTATGCTAGCTCACTTTTCCTCTCAAATGACTGGCTGTCGTTCACGATGCACCAGTTGAAGCTAGATATTATAACTGACATTCACTAACGGCCAATAAACATCTCCATTCCTTGTGTTGTGAATCTTTTATTACTATAGCTTCCCTCTCCAGCAGCGATCCCGTGCCGCGTGCATAATAGGATATTTAGCGTTATGTTACTTTTTTTAGTTTTTTAGCCTGTAATGTCTGATATCTTGATTGCGGAACAATAGTTGTTGTAGTGCCTACCGTAAGTTTCGGTCATGTCTGTCACGCCACGCACCGCAGCCTGCAAATGATTGGATGAGCGTCATCGATGGATCAATATCAAGGTCATTACGCCTGTACCTTACCTGACTCACTTTTATGAATAGAGTGTGCACTTATCGTATTAATTTCGCCTCTCTGCGTGTTTACTTTCACGAATGTTACGTTACATACAGGGGACGTTACTCAAATCCCTGATCGACACAACAAACGTCGACTCACTTCTTTGAACCTCTGATGGTCTATGAGAATTTGCAAACTTCCAATTTCGGGAAGTGCGGGAGAACTAACATGTAACGAATCATGCGCACCGATTTCCATCTGCAAAAGGATTGTCAACTGCCTTTGTATTAGTGTCCCTGGCGAACCATTGCGTCACCCTTATCCCTGGCTCCATCAATTTTCCGTGGCTGTCAAAATAAACCGGATGAAGTTAGCTCTGTGGGCTCAAAAACGATTATCAGTCAGCCCAAGGCTGTTCTGGACGTAGAGGTTAACTTCCGTCATTCACTGTGCATCTCAGGCTCTTCTGGACCCACCTAATATCAGATATATCTATACAAATGTGTTATTGATAGTGGTACTGAGGAGACAATACGAACTACATGCACCCATCAGCTTTCCGCGCTTTCATATTTTCGAAAGGACCAATCTACTTACCTAAATCAATCGGAGACGCTTGACATCATACTACTTAAATTTGCAAAGTAACTAAAATGTCCGTAACATTGTACGTGCTCACATTGATAGATAAAGTCGATAGAAATAACCTTTTACCCCAGAACAATTGTAGTTAAAAATTGCAGTGCTATACAGCAACCTCAGCGACAAGTAGCTCTTTTGCTAACTGATCTGACAACATGAACCGCTTATCAATCGGAATTGCAGCTCTTTTCGTTTTCTACTTAATCCACCTTAATATATTAATACCAATGCTACCGAATAGATGGAATGTGGGCGACATGCTCTATGAATGATTAGATATGTAGATAAGAACTCATGTTCATGGATTCAGTATTCGGTGTCAAGAGATCGTATCTATGGTGTGTCTGCTATTCAGTATGGGCTCACGAATATGGCCGCTAATCGCTTGTGTCTCGCTCAACTCACCTCAGCAAAGAACATCACAGAAGTGAGAAAAAAGCACACGTTGATAGTCCATCGTCTGCCGAGTAACGTGATGAATATCAGCGCTATCGGGAAGCTCAGGATGCTGCCAACCATTGAGGCCAGTAATGATATGTAACCCTCTCTGAGTAGCGGTGTGCAGCAATCTTGGTTTCCCGTTTGCATCCGGCCTTCATGATGTGCGTGTTCCATTGAGCTTCTCCAAATGGACTGGCAAAGATTAACGAAATGTAATATACAGGAAAACAAATAAATGAGACGGAGCTGGCTGCATGCATACACTTTCATCTGTAAGAGTTCGATTTTAAAAATATCACGTTAAACGAACATATTTTCAATATTTTATCCAAATTGATGTAATTAAATGGTCATGAAAATGTGTGAGTAGCACTTCAAGATGTTACTACTGAGATGAATTAATTGAATACTCACAGACGCTGTCAGCCAGGTTTTTTTAAAGAAAAACCTGCATGTGTGACTGTCACAGGTGCCCAACCGTTTGGACCAAGTTAATCCTAACCGTCGAGTGAGACATTTATTTGACGCATACTTGCGGTTCGTACAGTCGGAACGCCGCGACCGCAGTGGCCATTCGTATCCGCCTACGGAGGTAATCCGATTGATTGGTGGGGTTTTCTGATGAGTAATTTCGAATGGGTCGGCCGGTTTAGTGGTGGGCCCTGTGTTGGCGAGATGTGTGGCTATCGAGAAGTTGCCTGCTTTTCTGCTCCTAATTCCAAGACAGGTTGGATGGGACTTCTTCATTGTACTGGGTAAATTCCATGTCGTGCAACGGATGTATCCTGCTCCACAGGGTGATGGGAGTGTCATAACAGAGTGAACGGATAGACGAACTGAGCGAGTCAGACAGTCAATGGGAGACGGGTGTAACGGATTAGATTACTGTGCACCGATTAGCTGACATCCGTGTGAGTTACTCCTCCTTTGTTTAACTGAGTCAAATGAGAAACCATCGATTCATAAAGGTTGTTACTTACGGATGTGAATGTGCCACTTCTATCGAGAATTTTGGTTTACCAAACATGTTGTAATTTCGTTGAGTTGACTGTGCCGAATAAACACTTGTCCCTGAAAAACTGGGCTCGGCAACACACAGGAACAATAGAATGGGTAAATGCACATTGATTTGATGTGGACAGGTTTTTTATTCTTTGAAATCAGTGTCAACGTCAAGTTACTGCTGAACTGGGTCTACAGTTTTGCTGCTGCATATGCGTCTGAGTGGGTGAGATTTTGACGAGACACGAGTTCTACCGCAACTTAACTCTGGTACGGCAGCTGTAACCATTTCTTTTCCACCGGAAAGCTACTGGTTACTTTTATTTTCTTCTACCTTGGCTTTGCTAAGGCTCTCCAAGTAACCATTTTCCCTCAGTGCCAAGCGTGTGTTTCTATTCCCCGAGAAGCAGAGACCTGCGATTACTGATTCCGGCCTACATATTCCAGTTTACCCATGAAAACATCAGCTAGGAACCGTCTAAGTGATAAACACATTTGGAACCCATCCCCGTTGAATAGCAGTTTAGCTGTAAAACGTACACATCGATGCAACCGTTTTCTTGACAGTCAGCTTTCTTGGACTAGGTGTTTCGGCTCAGTGGGGTGACCACACATTCCCAAATTTACAGCTTTTTGGTTTCGGCAAATGTACGGGGACAAACACGGCGAGGTCAAGTGCATCTAGTTTTTGCTTTCGTCCCTCGACGATCGATCTGCGGGTGAGGGAGTTCTAAGTTTAATCGGAAAGCCACTGTTGGGTGACAAGTTCAAGTGCGCGGGTACCTTGGTGACAATCTTATGTCTTGGTCAAAAGACGCAGTTCAATTACCGCCTAGGTCAAAAGTGACTCATCACCACTGTGCAGGCAACAGCAAATTTAGGGCGCGTGGCACATATCGCCATTAGATGAACATCATCATGAGAGGGAATCCTCTGTCAGCGTTAGTTGGCAATATCACAAGCACAGAGGTTGGCGGTGTAGCTGGCTCTCAGCACGGCACTCTTCAGGTAGACTTACTTGTTTTGGGAATGGAGCCCGGTAGCAAGCGGTTGGCAGCTTACGCATTGGCCAATGACAGAGGAGAAATACGTTTGGAAGAAATGTAAAGAATTCAGCGCAGAGCTTTTGCATTACACGCTGCGTGTTTGAACTGCGAACCGCAATCTCCAGTTACATCGTAAGTTACTTTGAACTAAGCCTCGGTTATTCCGATCGCTGGAACTGTCTCTCTTCTAAGGAGGACAGAACTGGTCCTGAAGTGTAGTGCTGGCAGCAATCAGTCGTCTCTAATTCGAGCGTGATAGCGGTGCTCGGAATGTCCATGGTTTACTTGACAGTGCATTGTAATCTTACCGGAGACTGCTTGTCGCTATTCAAGATCCTGCGGCTACTTCAAAACCGAACTATGAACTCCGTGTTAACCGGAAGCTATTCGCCGATAAAAGCTCTTTGACCATCGTGTTCCTAAACTGACTCAGTGGTCAGTCCAGTCCCCCAAAAATTTGCAGCATACGACATCGATCTCATCAACGTACCTCAGTCTGAGAAATGAGTAAGCACTGTCCACACACCAAAGTTGCGAACACTGTGTGTGAATTAGGAATAATAGTTTTATCGGAAGCTCGTAGCTATTTCACTCGGTCCAATGTGATCGCCCTTTGATGGATCTGCAAGTAACTCAGAAACATTCATACGCATACGACTGCAAGCCCGCTTACATCGAAAAATTTTAACTATTTACACCAGTGGTTCTCAACCTTTTCGAGGCTGTTACTCACAATGTGGGTTCACCATAAACAAGTACCAAAAAAGTTTAGTTTAAACAGCTAATCAACCATTGCCCTTTTTCGCTTTTAATTATGGAAACTAAACCCTAGTTTTAATTACTTTCTAACTAACCAACTAAAAGAGCAGCTATTTTAGCCATTTTTAAATAATCAGTAGATGATAGACGTTAATAAAACGGTTGATACTGCTTACTTCTAGCAATTTTTGATAGATTTGGTGCGCTTTCGGTTAATGCGCATGGTAAGTCGTGCTCCAAGTTCATTCGCTTTCTTGCTTTGCTATGTAATCCCCATCAAACATGAACAAATGTCAGTGGATTCCCATTCATTTCGACTATCCGTTCTAAGTTCATCTTGGGTGACAGCTTCCCAGCGTTACTCTGTATAGATACGTCCTGAACACTAATCGCCTGTTTTGTCCCTTCTATCTTGTGAACATTCACTCGCTCATTTACCCGGTCTACTTCCCCCTCCCCTTAGTGTTCACTCAACTCTGTACTTCGACTCGGCGAACGACTACTTAACCAAAAAGAACGACGAGCGAGCCGATAGAGGCGCTATCTAGCTACGCTGCTTTACAGGCTTGTGTTAGTGTTTTAGGTCATAAAATTTATTACCGGAAATTGTCTAACTCACTGACCCCTCAGTAGTGATTAGTCACGGCTAATCAACATTGGTTAGGTAGTTAGTTACATGTTTTGATATAAATGACTATTTTATTTTGTTAAGCGAAGAACTAATCCTCGCACTTATATTTACACCCCGTAAAATTCCATTTTAGCCCTTTGATAGGAATTGCCCCCAGGTTGAGAACCACTGCTTTACATCAATCGCACCAATATCAACAGCTACACAGCACATCCAACGTAAGCTCATTTGTGCCACATCCGTTACATAGCTCTTTCGTGGACCAGTATTGTCCAGCGTGTAAGGAAGATCTACAGTGTGGTACCTACTTTTCTTTTTATGCATCGACCTGTGTCATCGTTATAGCAACCACAACGGCACGGCTATTTTGATTCCCCACCTCGTCTCTCAAAACACTCCCTGCAGAAATGCTCGCATTAGCATAAAGCGACGACTGTATCCAGAAGCATGGCATGCATACTAAGTGTGGTGCTTGCAACAACAGATGTGCTAACATGTAGTCGTCTTGTAGCAAATGCCTTCCGATAGAATCGTAAACGTTGAAGCACTATGGAACATATTATCACCGATTAGTCGGTTAACCTTTGTTAAAAGCGGAGCAACTTGTTGCATCAGTAATATGAAGGTCAGTCTGTTGAACACTGTGTTCCGTACAACTTCGAAAATACCTTGGTTGTAGGCCTTTGGTAAACTACAATGGTCTACTAGGCAACTGTTCAATGTGATTATTCGCTGGTGGGTGCTTCCTGATAGCTTGTGCCAGCTCTGACGTAAGTTTGTCATCGGAGATGAGGCGAAATCGACCTTACAAAGTTGTCGCACTCGACACAGCTAAATATGTACACAGGGCGAAACTTTCACACCTGCTAACCATCTGATGCCGTAGATGGTCCCTTCTTGTTGAACTGTTTCACAAGTGGGGTATCTGAGCATAAAGTGCAGGGGGCTTACTTGTTGGCGATTTGGGAGAAACCATGAATGGTCCACTTTGTTGTTCAAGTGCAGTGACCGTGTATCCGCCACTCTCAAGCACACGACACATCAGTTTGGCTTACGTGTACGCCGTATGATTGGCACCTCCATAGTCAAGTGAACGTTACACCTAGTTCGACCAAATCAATATCTATATCAGAAATCCGTTCAGGGTGAAGAATTCTTTTCGGTAAACTCTCATCGGACCCAAACGTTTACAAAACGCTGATAGTGTGGGGTAAGCGTCAACTCGGGCTGGGATTTACTTCTGGACTGTTTGAATGATCAAAGTCGATAACTTGAGACAGAGATAGAGATGGTAAAGCAAGTGAACTAAATACACATGCATACGAAAAGCTCAGTAATCCAGAGTAATTAAGTAGGCAAGATAACAGCCAAATAACTAAGTAACAGTGTCCGTTGGTCAAGGTAGTAGAATCGGCCGTATGAATCGTTTTTGTATACATAATTCCGGCATTAGATGGTGAATGTAGATAGCCTCGGCGATGAATAAGAGCTGTTTGCAGAATCCTTGGGTGTAGTGTTCAGGTAGTCAATAAATGACTTTGAAGTCATTCTCTGAAGCTGTATGACCACATTCAAGGGGGTGCGACATGATTGAGCTGTCTGAAGACCTCATTTCGCCTTTGTAAAACTATGCCGGGATGTGTTCACGAATCCTCTGAGATAGGCGCCTCATCGTGCGACCCACGTTTCGTGCACAAAGTACTGATAAACGATCATTGAACGGGTCAACGACGGTAGCCTATCCTTCAAGGGTT